GGACCTATTCTAAAAAAGTCGAGTCATTTCGAATTGTTTGTTGACACGGACAAAGTCAAAGTCAAGGAAAACCTCTGAAATTCTTTCCATATTGGACCTTGGACATATCATAGTTCCTAATCTCTTTAGAAAGAAGATCTTTTGTCTCATGGTAGCCTGCTCCAGTTCCCTTACGAAACTTTCGTTATTGGGTTAGCCATACACTTCACATGTTTCTAGCGATTCACATGGCATTATCAAATTATACAAGTCTTGGATAAGAATCTACAACGCACTAGAACGCCCCTGTTGACGATCCTTTACTCCGACAGCATCTAGGGTTCCTCGAACAATGTGATATCTCACACCGGGTAAATCCTTAACCCTTCCCCCTCTTACTAGGACTACAGAATGTTCTTGTAAATTATGGCCAATACCGGGTATCCCAAAAAGTAACTAGGACCAATTCAGTCACGTTTTCATGTTCCAATTGAACACTTTCCTTTTTTTTTATTATTCTCAAAGGAGAAGATTCTTCTTTTTACCAAACCTATGTGGATCCAATCACGATCTTATAATAAGAACAATAAATATTTCTCGATCAATCCTTTTGCCCCCCCCCCCCCCCTTCTTTTCTTCGAGAATCAGAAAGATCCTTTTCAATCAAGTATGAATTTGTTCGTTTGGAATCTGGACTCTTCTACTGCATTTTTATTTACTTCTTATTATTTTTCTTTTTTATCTCGTAGGTATAGCGTTTGAATCAATAGAGAACCCTTTCTTCTGTATCTGTATGAATCGAGATTCTTACATTCCAATTCCTTCCCGATACCTCCCAAGGAAAATAAAATCCCGAAATTGACGGGTTAGTGTGAGCTTATCCATGCGGTTATGCACCCTTCGAATAGAGGAATCCATTTATTTTCTGAAATATCCCGGCTTTCGTACTTTGGTGGGTTTTCGAGATCTTTTCGATGGCCTATGTTGTGTTGAAGGGATATCTATATGATCCGATCGATTGCGTAAAGCGCGCGGTAGCAACGGAACCGGGGAGAGTATATATAAAAGACAGTTCTATTTCGGTTCTATTAGTATTAGATTAGTATTAGTTAGTGATCTCGGCTCAGCGAGTCCTTTCTTTCGTGATGAACTGTTGGCACCAGTCCAAAATATTTTCTCTGTTGACCGAGGAGAAAGGGAGCTCAGCGGCAAGAGGATTGTAACATGACAGAAGTAAGGAGGTCAACCTCTTTCAAATATACAACATAGGTTCTGGCAATGCAATGTGGTTGGACTCTCATGTCGATCCGAATGAATCATCCTTTCCGCGGAGGTAAATCTGTGCCCGCTAGGTAAGAGGATAGCAAGTTACAAATTATGTCTTGGTAGGACATTTATTTTGATTACTATTCAATTGAAGTAGTTAACGGTGGGGTTACCATTCTAATCCTTTTTGTGGTGACGAATCTTGTATGTGTTCCTAAGAAAAGGAATTTGTCCATTTTTCGGGGTCTCGAAGGGGGGGGGGTGGAAACACATAAGAACTCTTGCATGGAAATAGAAAAATAGATGTAACTGTAACTCGTTACTTCGGAAATGGTAAGATCTTTGGCGCAAGAACGCAAAAAGAGGGGTTGATCCGTATCATCTTGACTTGGTTCTGATTTCTCTATTTTTTTAAGAATACCGAGTCGGGTTCTTCTCCTACCCGTATCGAATAGAACATGCTGAGCCAAATCTATGGAAAATCTGCTTTGTTTAGATCGGGAAAATCGTACGTTTTTATGAAATCATGTGCTATTGCTCGAATCCGTAGTCAATCCTATTTCCGATAGGAGTAGTTGACAATTGAATCCTGTTTTTCCCATTCTTTTCATATCCGTAATAGTGTGAAAAGAAGGTCCGACTCCAAGTTGTTTAAGAAGAATGGCGTTGAGTTTCTCGGCCCTTTGCCTTAGGATTAGTCAGTTCTATTTCTCGATGGGGGCAGGGGAAGGGATATAACTCAGCGGTAGAGTGTCACCTTGACGTGGTGGAAGTCATCAGTTCGAGCCTGATTATCCCTAAACCCAATGTGCGTTTTTCTATTTGGATGCCGTGATCGAATGAGAATTGATAATGGATAAGAGGCTCGTGGGATGACTGAGACACGGCCCAGACTCCTACGGGAGGCAGCAGTGGGGAATTTTCCGCAATGGGCGAAAGCCTGACGGAGCAATGCCGCGTGGAGGTAGAAGGCCTACGGGTCGTGAACTTCTTTTCCCGGAGAAGAAACAATGACGGTATCCGGGGAATAAGCATCGGCTAACTCTGTGCCAGCAGCCGCGGTAAGACAGAGGATGCAAGCGTTATCCGGAATGATTGGGCGTAAAGCGTCTGTAGGTGGCTTTTTACCCTTCCTTCGCTCCGAGGGTTAGGATCAAGGGTCGTAATCGGGCAGTCGGGAGTAACATCAAGCTCGGACGTTCTCGACAAGCCAGTACCACTGGACCAAAAACGGGGATGCCCATTGTGAAGGCCGGGTGGCATTCCAAGGCTTTTGGCATATTTATTGCCAAAAAGAACCTTTCCTATATACCGCTAAATGAAAGGAATAAAGCATAGCATATTAGCCCTACATGTATCACCGAAATCGGTAGGTTAGACATTTGAATAGCACTGATCCTCTCCATTTAGTAATGGAGTTCTTTCACTTTCCGTGTCGAGTGGTAAAGTTCCACTCATTCCCTCCCCGAATCCATCTGCACCCAGCCAAAAGATGAGAGAGATGTTCTCAAGCCACTATCCAAGTTAGCTCCTCCATACATGAAGATCCACCCGACAGTGGATTTGCTTTCATCCAAATCTCTTCCCTAATCCGCATCCCTATATCCTTTTAGTAGAAGACTTGATCCTCCATACACCAGATCAAGATCAATGCGTGAAAGAGCAAAGGATTCTACATCACAGGGTCAGGCCCCAGGAGATGAGACTCTCCGTTCTTGAATATAAGGATGCTTTCCATGAATTGCTCCAGCTCTGGTGCACACCAGTTCTCTCTAGAAAGAGAATGTTCACTGGAAAGCAAAGACCAGCTAAGAAAAGAGTGAGCTAATCAAGGTCGGGGCGGGTCTCCTCGGCGGGAATACCAGTCCGAAAAGAAAGAGAGATCAATCACTTTGGCAAGAAGAGTGAGCGAACAAGTCTGCTTTCTTCTCCATTGATGTCGAATTCCAGTTTTTTGACCTCTGACTAAAAGAAAGGAGACAGCTAAGAGCTAGGGGCGGCGAAAGCTTCTTCCGGGAACGCTATTTCCCGGCCTGGGACAGTTGGTTGATTGGATAAGAGGGGAGCGAAGGGAGTATCAAAAAAGAAAGTGATAGGCAAAAAGAATGCTATTCAAAATAATCAGACTAGCTTTCCGTACTGACAAAGACTCTTTTAGCACTACTATTTATTAATATCTAACCAAAAAAGAAGGAAGAGAACGAAAGGAGAAGAGAAGTCCACTTCCGGGACGGAGCCCTACATAAATTGAAGCATCAGGAACAAGCAAAGATGCCACCGGTTAAGAGTTGGAGATTGTGCTTCATATTCTTTATGTATGTATTATCCATTCATTCGGACTTCGAACAAGCCGTTGAATCCCGACATGGGCGAGTAGGGATTCCAGGACAGTTTCAACTTCTTCGGGCTAGGGCATTCGATTACTCATTCGCTTTGTTACGAAATAAGTAGCAAGGTGCGAGATGCGCAGCCTTTGATCCAATTCAGCTTCAAGGGCCTTACCATCCCGGTTAAGGAATGACAGGTCTACGTTCTGGTCTACCCGCACGTGACGGAATTGTGCATAGTCCTTATGTCATCCCGCTTCCAAAGCCCGATCTTTCTCTGTCTGGGTTCGTCTAGCTTTGCATTGCTTGCCTGGCTTAGACTGGGTGAATTTCCCCCCTTTGAAAGCCCCATACCTTACTAGAGCCCCCCAACAAGACCACAACTCAATTAAGTCCGCCTTCTGTCCTCCACTACCAAAAGACGTGGAGACCTGTTTCTCTCGTCAGCTCCTTACCTAAGGTGACCTTCACGTCACTTCCTTGAACTCGCTTAAGGAAATCCCGAGCTCCAATCAGCTCAGCTCCAACACTCGAAAATAGTAGCTACACAACAACAAGACAATGGGGCCTACAGACCCCCACGACTATTAATAAAGCACTGCTCTTTCCTCACATCTACCTAACCAATTCCGATTGAGCGCGTGAAAATGCAAGATGGAGGCCTTTCTGAATGAAAGGAAGATCATCCCTTGGGAAAGAGATCGGCAATTCGCTCAGGCGGTTAGTTAGTTGTAATTGAGTAGGCAGTTCTTCTCTTTGCCTTTCAGCCGGCTAGTCCGCTTATCCCTCTGTGAGCGGAGATGGTGATACAGGAAGTGTTGTGGCTTTGGTGGAAGGCTGGGAAGATCCTTGTTTGGGTTTGGTAGACTCTCTTTTAGTTTGGGACGATCTTTCCGGTTGAGGAATGAACTATGGAATTCAGTCACTCGGGTAAGAAAATAACTAACTTAAGGCATTGAAAGACGTGAACCAAATCATTTAAGCGTCCACGTATTGGCTTCGATTCTGGCAGAAGCGGGATGGCACTCTATTACGTAGATAGACAGAAGAGGGCCTAGCTGGCTTGACCCAGAGAAGAATGTTGAGTTGAGGAAAAGAAGCCTTCCCAATGAAAATCTTTTCCTGTCGATGTAGTCTTTTCTTCTCTGTCCCTTAGGCTCTCTGTCCTGCTCCCCGGAAAAGGGCGAAGCGGAAATTGAATAATAAGAAAGCTGGTAGCGTAGATTCAGGCTACCCTAGTAGCTAGGATTCCGTCCCTCCCAGTTCACAGATGTAGTTGCTTGTAGTTCACTTTTTGATTCGAGATTGGGTTGGTGTGAAGTGTACCGCTTGTGTAGCCTATGCGAAGCGAACAAGCAAGGGATTGAGGCGAAAGCCGCGTTCGCGCATTTTCTTGCTGGGTACAAGATCGAAGGAGTAGCCTTTTTAGTGCTAGCTGAACGTAAAGTAATGGCTTTTGTGCAACGTCGAAAGGGTCCTGATGTAGTGGGATCGTTCGGATTGTTACAACCTCTAGCAGATGGTTTGAAATTGATTCTAAAAGAACCTATTTCACCAAGTAGTGCTAATTTCTCCCTTTTTAGAATGGCTCCAGTGGCTACATTTATGTTAAGTCTGGTCGCTCGGGCCGTTGTACCTTTTGATTATGGTATGGTATTGTCAGATTCGAACATAGGGCTACTTTATTTGTTTGCCATATCTTCGTTAGGTGTTTATGGAATTATTACAGCAGGTTGGTCTAGTAATTAGGGGGCGGCCGTTCGGTCGCCTATGATACTAGGACCAATTGGTCAAAAATGGGTTTGTGCCGCAGGTGTTGAACGATCTACTCTACACAGGTGTGGGCTTACAGGGCTAGGGCTCATAAAGCCTTTCTTTCATTCAAAAAGAGGGCCCTGGTCGGTCACTTTTCCGGGCCGGGATCGATAGATAAGTGGAAGTCATAAAAAAGAGATCTTTCTCTTCGCACCTAAGATCAAGAGGAAGGGTAGCTTGTCAAGCTGGCCTATATAAAAGATCTTCATTATTATAGAATCTTTTATAAATATATATTTATAAAGATTCACTGTCTTTTAACCGGCTGTTCTTCTTTGTCAACGCTACTAAGGACCTATGGGTTAGCCTACCCTACTAATGTATTGTATAGTAGGGTATAGTATAGTAGGCGAGCGAGTTAGCGAAGACGCTTAGGCTAATAGATAAGAGAGCGTCAGTGCGTAGCCTTCATTCTACTACGCTACGCAAAGGTTATGAAGTCACTTAGCTCGACGTTAGGAGAGTCAAGGGGGAAGGCCATACCTACATAGAAGAACCGCTGTTCGCTGACTTTCTAAGGTCTAACCTTTCGCTCCCCTACTGAAAAGGGGCACAAAGCCGCTTTGCACCACTGATAGACTACTTAAGATTCAATTCAAAAGGCCCTACTTTGTTTCGCAAGCCTTTGTCATTGTCAGTCAACTAAGTAGGGCCTGAGGCCCCCTGCGAATCCGTAAATCTGAGGAGCATGCCGCAACACAACAAAAGGATGGTCCCCTATGCATTTCATTCTTTCCGGAAGGAAAAAAAAAACAAGTACCCCCATCATGGTGAACCTCTCCTTGTGATCGGGATGAGGTAGATGCCTCCCAGCTGGGGGGCGGATCGAATCGGAGTTTCCTTAGGTAGCCACCGACCTACAGTTATCCTTAAACTTCCGTGCTTGGTGGAGAAGAAGCGAACAAAGGTACGCTCGCTTACTGTCTTGTTCTCTGCCGCGAACTGGGATTGCTCGCCAGCTAGGTCAGATTGGAGCAAGAATTTATGAGAACATATTACCCATATTCGGGGACAAGGGGCGGAACGACCTCTCGATCTGCTTACTGCAGCCAAGGAAGAAAAACGTCGTCTAGGAGTTCTTGCTCCGATCTCCCCGACGCCTAGGACGTTGTCTGGGCCAAGAGCCATAGTTAATTGCTGTTTCCATTTGGTTTTTTTTTCTTGTTGTTGATACCGGCAAGACCAGCCAGATGATGTCTGCTGGTTGGTAGTGAGAGGACTCGTAGTACCTGCATACCCAAAAGAAAAGGAGGCGCTGATTAAAAAATAATCATTTGATTTTGTTTCTTACTCTCCCTTAGCAGCGGGAAAGGAGTCTATCTATCTGCCTAGCTTTGGTAGATTTCCCCCAACGCAATCCATCGAAATTCCACGAATCCCTTAGTGGATAAGTCCGACGACTCAGCAGCAGTGCGGAATTGAGTTTCTCGTCTGGTGGATCTGATCTTTAGGGGGCAATACATACCAAAAGGTGCTTTAGTGATCTTTGATGGTCTGAACAAGGAACTCTGTGTGGGGATCCATCTTGTTGTTATTCGCATTGTTCACCTTGGTCGGAAATCAGGGTGGTTGTTCTGCGCTTTATATTTGAAGCAAGCAGCTTCATCTTTGATGATGGCCTATGGTGGTGATGAATTCGTTCATCCTGACAATGCGGTACCAGTTTCTCTCACTCGGTCCGGTTACCCTCGGTTCCGTCTCATCATAGGCGTATGATTCTGAAGAAGGATGAGAAAGCGGATATGCTGGTGAAGTTTTATTAAAAAAGATTCTCTCTGTCAAAGGGTACCAGTTTCTCTCACTCGGTCCGGTTACCCTCGGTTCCGTCTCATCATAGGCGTATGATTCTGAAGAAGGATGAGAAAGCGGATATGCTGGTGAAGTTTTATTAAAAAAGATTCTCTCTGTCAAAGATCATGACTTTGGCAAAGAAGGTTGATAAATCAACGTTTTCTAGTAGAATATCCCCACCCGATAATATTGACAAGGTGGTGGGGCTGGTTGGTTCGATTAAGGAGAACTTTAATCAACTTATCAGTCGCTATGCTCCCTAGATAAAACGTATACCCCTTGAATTGAACAAGGGTTACGGTTTGAACCAACCTGGAAAGCCTTGCCGACACACTCATTGACGAAAAGGGTGTGGGTTGAGAGAAGGAAACTTCCTTATCGTAAGATTCGGAACTTTCGCTCTTCATTCACATCGTTTTCTCATGAGTTGGGCGCTTTTCAATGGCTGTTGGTCGTTGGGCACTCACAGGGTACCCAATGGTCGGTCACATGGCTGCTTGTGGCCTCCCCATATTCGTTACGCCTTTGATGTGAGGAATAAAACCTTCACACCCGAGGATCTGGATTGGTTTGAGCGCCGTATAGGGCCCTTTCTACCATCCTGCCACGATATGGGCCCGCAATCACAGGCAACCAACTAATGGGCTTAAATATTATAAAGGAAAGAAATTAAGAGATTTAATTCTCATTCCATGTAAGATTATTAACTAGTAGCATAGAAAGTAACATTTTGTTCCTTAATGCATATGCACAGCATACACATTTCAATTAATCTATACCCATCAGCTCCCATAATTTTATTCAAAGAACCATGTATGAGAGAATATGGATCTCTTTTCAAGTTGCATAGTCCTAATGAGCTCATCAAATTCAATCAGCAAGGATAGAAAGGATACAATGCTTGATAATAAAATGACATCCCAATGTTGGGAGTCTCAGCTTCCAACAAATGTTGCCTTTCTTTTTTAAAGTGGATGTATAGTTAGCCACGTCTTATTGTGGCTAACTATACAAATTAATCACATTTATAAAGTGGCTAAATTAACAATAAATGTGACAAAAATAATGCTACTACATTCAGTCAAAGTGTGACAAAGTGAATAAAACAATATGGCTAAATTATTACAACACCACTTCTAGTCACATTTAGTCAAAATGTGGCAAAGTTTGTTAGCCACATTTTTTATTAATGTTTGCCACATTTTTAAACGTGACTAAAAAACTTTTTTTAATAGTGCAAGGGCCACCCTAGCTTCCATGTAGGTCCGCCCCATACTCTTTTGTTTTTGTATCAATGGGAGAGGAAATGATTTCGGCCGCAACTACAAAAATCATTATCCCTACCAAAAATACACACAACCAACTTGCATTTCCTTTCGATAAACAAGATAATATGTGCAAATTCCCGATGCTTATCCTTAGTTTAGTGGAAATGCTTGTTAATTAACATAATATATAATATTTTCTCTTTCAGTGTATTAAATGCAACACACACAATGTAGCAATCAAAAATTAAAAAATTAAATAATTACGAGAATATTATACCAATGAGAAAATTAAGAAAATAAATGCTTACATATCTATACTTTATTGCATATATGTTTATAATTTATAAAATTTGACAAAATTAATTTTGTGTTACCAGTTGTATTTTATAAAATGTGACTCTCACTTTAGTATCTAAATCCAAAATGGAATGATGCTATCAATTAATATTAATTGAAGTGAAAAGAAATGTGTAGTAAAATTTTGACTTCAATGGAATCTGAGTCAATAAATGCTATCATCCAGCCTCAATTTTCAAGTTCAAGATGACTTATGGTACTGCACTTGAATTGGCCAATTTCTTCACACCATTTTCAGTTTGGGGCATATATGACACAAAGCACGTTCTCCAAGCTTTGACACAAAAAACGCAATGCCATGACTCACGAGGAACCAACCCAGTTGACAAAAAGGATATACGGTCATAATTAGCAGGTTATGGGTGAAATGTTAGTGTCTCTGGAATGGAATGGAACACCATGATTGGACCCGGCAACAACTAACAAATAGACCCCCCCTATTATTACTTTCTATCATATAACCCTGTCGTTTTCTCTGGTACCACATAACAACATTCTTTTCTCAGTTATATGTGTATGTGTCTACATGTGTGGGCGTGTGTGGAGTTTTACATATCATATATATGAAATATGTGTTAAATTTAGATCATACTGCTTAAATTATTATTTAATAACTTGTCAAAGGACATATTAATAGAAGGTATATTAAAAGCAAACTATCAAATAATGCAATTCTGATAATGATCAAGACCTCACGTCAGCATGTGAAGAAGAGTCGTCCAATGCCAACTATATGCAATCCAAGGTCAGTGAGATGATTAGTCACATTTCATCATAGACTTTAGGACATTCAATTCTATGGTTCAAAGAGAAAGGGTAATTAATTTAGTCTTGGTTCTTGGGGAAAAGAATTAGGCCTTAATAGGGAATGTATTGAATTAATTTAATTAAGAATTGAGAAGTGCATACATCATGTAGGGTTATGATTAGTCTGGGTTTTTTTGAATGAAATCAATAATAGTAAAATCAAAAGGTTTTAATTTGCTTTTGAATTGTCATTTGTCAAAGCAAAATGGACTTTAGCATATATTTCCCACAGAAGAAAAACAGAGATTACAACCGGGTGAGGGGACCATGTGAGTAAATTTATCTATCTGAAGTGGGTTTTGAATTATTGATGCATTAATTGTTCACGGGTTATAGGGAGGTCTTAATGAAGGGTTAAGTTTTATGGATTTGACATGTCTAAGTTAGGGATGCATTTAAATGGAAATATTGTAAAGTTTAATTACTGATTAAAAAATTAAAGGAGTGAATTATAACAATTTTATAATTTGTTTTCTATGGACATGTATTTTATCATTATGTCAGCCATTCATTCAACCATGCACATAAATTCAAGTATTACGATCCAAGAATTGTTGATCAAGTGCTGACTTAATTAGATTCTAATATTTAATCTATCAAAAGGATAGTGGGTTATCTTCCTAAGAGTCACAATTCTTAAGAAGAATGGAGAAGTATAAATCCAAAATCGAATTAATTAATTGAATCTGTTTAGGACTTTGACACTCGTTAATATCTACCAAAAAAAAAAAAATTCAAGTTTTACATAGTGAGTTGAACTATATATTGCTATTTTTCAAGACAGCGACGAAAGAAGAAAAATGGAAACTTTACTAATGCTGTTTATTGTAGTTTTATTAACGTTTATCCTTTTAAAGGATATAATTTTGTGTCATTTTAGATTATAACTGTTGATTTTTGTCAATCAACGGTTATGATTTATTGGATCAAACTTATTAATTAATTATTAATTCCCAATAAAATCCAATAAATCATAACTGTTGATTGACGGAAATCAACGGTTAGAATCTAAAATGACACAAAGTTATATACTTTAAAAGGATAAATGTTTTTCCCTTCTTTTTAAGATCAATGTTAACTCT